GATCGGGGGGCACGCAGGTGCTGGGTGCCCAGGAGGCAGCGGCAGGGACCACCAGCGGAGAAGTCTCGGTGTCGCGTTGCGTCCCATTTTGCAGCAGAGGAAACCCATTTTCTTTGCTGTGTCTTCGACAAGGGGCAAGGAGGCACCAGCAAGCAGGCACTTTTTCCTCCCAGCCCTCCACCCTCAGACCGCACCATTCCCTGAAGCCAAGCACATGCACCCGGTGCATCCAGCGCCTCACTACAGCCAGTAGGTTTACTGCAAATGAAGGCCTCTGTTCTCATTCCCGAGGACACTGACCACTCAAGGGTGAAGAAACACCTGATGAAGACTCTGTCCTCCAACCCAGGGTTCCTGGACTAGGGACCTGAGTGTGGGCTCAGGCTTGCTCCTCCGCACCTGCCCAGGATTCAGGGGTTTCAAGTGAGGTCGATTGCAGGCATCGGGGTCCCCTGGAGGAGTGGCCAGGGGCCTGAGAGGTTAGGCCATGTCTGAAGGCCACCTGATGGGCTTCCATGACCCTGAAGACCTGGCAGGACTCCCCTGCAGCAGGTTAACACAGGCTGTGGGGAGGCCAAGGGAGTGGGTGCCCACTTGGGGGGCGGGTACTCAGAGGCTGGATCAAGACCAGGCTGTATTGGGACCACTCCAGGTAACCGTCCACTATCCACTGATGGGCCCTTTGCCTGAAGCCCCCAACAGCCTCACTGAGGGCACTGATAGCACCCATCCCGGTCCCCAGGACTCCCACCCACCTGTGCCCTCCTTTACCCCCACCCGGGATGTTAACCCCTAGCCTTTGAGGTGCAGAGGGCAGGCATCAGTGTGGGCTCTGCAGGAGCTAGGCTAGGTCCCATGCAGCCACCAGCCTGATCTGACCTTCAGGTATACAGGTGAAAACAGGTAGGCATCAAAGGGCCCTCATTTCTTCACCTTATTCCCCCGACCAGTCCTGCAGCACATTCTGTGGCCCCACCTTCAGATGTTCTTGAATCCAGCTACTTCTCTACACCTGCACAGTCTCATGTGGTCCTGGGCCATCTCCTGCCTCCTGTCTGACACCCTGGCTTTCTCCTTACCCCGCACAGAGGTCAGCAGGAACCTTCTCTGCTCACAGTCCTCATGGTTTCCATTCCTCCGAGTAAAAGCCCAACTCCTGTGACTCACCACCTGCCCTCTTGCCCTCTTCTCTACCTTGCTCCCTCCATTACAGCCACACTGGGCTCCTCCCTGGTCCTCTAATACCTCAGGCACATTTCTGCCTCAGGGCCTTTGCACTGGCTGTTCCCTCTGCCCAGAATGTTGTTCCCCTAGGTAATGGCAGGGCACCTCCTCCTCTAACTTCAGGGTTCACCTACAAATGTCACTTGCTCAGTGTACCTCCCTGACCCCCCCCCCCAAGTCTTCTCCTTAGCACTTGTCACCATCTGTCCTGCTATACCTCCTACTATTTTTGAATGTGCACGTGGACAAGGGGGAGAGGGGGGGAGGGGAGTTCCACCCATCCCATTGGGTTACTGATTCCACAGCCAACCTGGCAGGCAGAGAGGCTCAGAGGTCCTGGGCTGGCTGGATATGCCCCCATAGGTTCAGCTCAGCTGTGGAGCAGCCCTGGGTCTTCCCAACCACCCAGCACTATCTGGTGTCCATCAGTAATGGGAGAGGGCCCTGCCCAGCAGCCCAGCCCAGCCTCTAGTTTCATTCTGGCAGGGCCCAGATAGAAGGCTACCAACAGGTGGGTGCAGGGCAGGAATGGAAAGTAGCTCTTGGTGCTGGCAGTTGGAAACCAGGGCTCCCAGGCACCAGGGGCCTGGTAAGGGGCTGCTGAAGTCCCATGGCTGGTGCTGCTTCCCTGCCCCAACTGAGAGGGCAGGCCTCCTCTCTCCCCACTGATGCCCCTGCCTGGGGAGGCCTTCTTTGCACCTCTCCCCGGCTAAGCTCCACACAGTCAGGGAAAGGCTAGGGGCCAGCTCTACTGAAGAGGGTCCCTTGCTCTGTGTCCTGTCCTGGCAACCAGGGACTGAGTTTGGGTAGCCACCTAGGGCAGATGAGGCCAGACACTGGGAACTCAAGTATCTTATCTTCTTCCTGGGAAGGAACCAGAGATTGGTCCAGGGACAAAGGCCAAGAAACGCTGTCCAGCTCCTGGAGCCCAGTATGGCCTCAGGGCCTTTGTATGGACTATTCCTGCTGCCTAAGATGCTTGTCCCCCAGAACCTGGCCTGGCAGCAACTTCTTTTTTTTAAGACTTTAAACTTTTATTAAAAGACTTTTTTGAATCACTTCTTTTGTAGTTTATACTTTTGCTGGTTTTTATAAAATAGGGAAAGACTATATTTCCAAACTGATACCTTTAGTACAGAATCTGACCTCTTCTAACAACTTTTTCAGGCAATACATCAATGTCATAGCATTTTAAAATGTAAAAGAAAAGCCAAAACATGAGCCCTAATATTACAGAATAATCAAAGCAAGCTTCATTTAAGATATTCTGTCAGTGCTCGGCCAGTGTGGCTCAGTGGTTGAGCAGCATCCCATGCACCAGGAGGTCACAGGGTTCGATTCCGGTCAGGGCCCATGCCTGGGTTGTGGGCTCGATCCCCAGCAGGGAGGAATGCAGAAGGCAGCCAATAGGTGTTGATGTTTCTCTCTCATGGATGTTTCTATTTCTCTCTCTCTCTAAAAATCTATTTAAAAAAATATAGTTTAAAATATGATATTCTGGCCTGACTGGTGTGGGTCAGTAGTTGAGTATCAATCCATGAACCAAGAGGTCCCTGGTTAGCTTCCCCATCAGGACACATGCCTTGTTTGCAGGTCCGATCCCCAGTAGGGAGTATGCAGAGGCAGCTGATGGATGTCTCTCTCTCATCGATGTTTCCATCTCTCTGTGCCTCTCCCTTCCTCTCTCTCCAGGCAGCAACTTCTTATTGTTTGGGTGGACAGAGGCCTCCTAACCCACCTACCCACCCCTCTCCCTGTTGTCCTGCTTCCTCTTATCTCGAAGGGCAAACACTATGCCTTTCTCTCTCCACCCTTGTGCTCCAGCACCCAGGGCCCTAATCACAGCAGGTCTCAAACTTGGCTGACTCCAAGGAGCAGGGGCCTGAGGAGGCGGATGTTTACTTCCACAAGGACTCCGTACACTCCTTCCTTGCTTAGCCAAGCTGAGGCTTGAGCACTTCGAGCCCCCTCACCACCTACAGACCACCTGGAGGTCCTGGGTTTGAATCCTATGGCTCCTCTTGATGGCTGTGACCTCTGTGCCTCTGATTCCCTGGATGCCAACTGGGCTTGGGGGACACAGCTGTGCCTTCATCTCAGCAGTATGGGGCAGCTGTTTTGAGGAGCAAAGGAGTCCCTACAGCTGCTGTTCATAGACCCTGGTCTCCAGGACCCTGTGCCAGGCCCCTCCTGTCCCAGCCTTGGTTCCCAAACGCCCCTCTCAAAATGGCTAGTGCAAACATGGTTCAGGTGGGGAGACCGGAGTGGAGACGTTTATTGACAGAAGGGGGTTGGGCTTCCAGCCTCTGCCTCTGACCAGCCCAAGTGAGGGAGACGGATGAAGGCGGGTGCCCAGTGGGGAGGGCAGCACGGCTGGGCCTCACCTTCCCACTGAGGAAACTGCATCTGGGGCCGGCCTCAGGCGCTGGGAGTATATTGCAGTACTAGCCGGTCAAAGTCATTTTCCTTCAACACGAAATGGGGGCAAAAGAGAAAGGAAACACATGAGTCAAAACCTGAGTTCCAAGCCCTCCCTGTGGGCCTGGGGGCTCTGGGGCTCACCTTGGCCTGGTACTCCTTGATAAAGGGGTGGAACCTGTGTGCATCCTTTAGCTGGGACAGGTAGCGGTTTGTCACCTGTGGGGAAGGTGAGACTGAGGTTAACTGAACACAGGGACCCCCTGTGGCTCTGACCTGCAGGGCAGGCGTGGGGGGGGGGGGTTAAGGGCCACTCAGCACACTCCCTGCCAGGAGCCCGGACCCCTGTGGCTCTGACCTGCAGGGCAGGCGTGGGGGGGTGGGTAAGGGCCACTCAGCACACTCCCTGCCAGGAGCCCTGGCTGTCCGCTCAGCTCAGGCCAACTCAGACCCCAGCTGACAAGGTCCTCCCATTTCCAAGGTCTCCCCACATGTCCTCCATT